AAACAGCTCTATCAAATCTCTGTTACAACTCTTTCTTTCATTTCAATATTCTGAAAATGAAACAAACACCTTATATATTAGAACAACTGTGACCACATTTGACAATAATTTATTCCTCAACCCCTATCATTGCTGTTCTGCATTAGCTCCCTGTCTCCTAGTGCACCAAGTCTAAAACTATTGTCCTTATTTACAATTTCCACTACAGCCTTACTTCACTACTTGTACAATATCTATCAGTGCTTTTACCAAGCCATCTCTGCAGCCCTCTGACTTGATTCTGTGTTACCCACATAAGTACATCATAGCCCCACCTAAGTATTTCTCATTTTTCGAATGGTAGATTTTTCAAGTACATAGGTTATACATTCTGCAATTAGTTCCTGAACCACCCTTCTACCACCCATCTTTAAAAAGTCTCCTAAGAAACTACCTTCTTGACTATGTTCTTTCTCAACTCTCCATACTAGCACTCATTCCATTTACTCAGATGTAAAAGGTAAGCTACAAAGAGAAGTCTGTTATTTTTAAATTGTATTACAACTAACAGGAAAAGATTGTATCTTCAGCATCTAGAAATTTCCCAATGGATGATTAGCTCATACCATAATAATTCTTTGACAACTCACCTCTAACCAGGAACTGTACATGTCTTTAACCATTTTGTTTCTCTAATCTCCATCAAAGCACTCTTAACTTACATTGCACCTTTTAATAGCATGGATTACATTCTACATGTACTGAATATTAAGATGTCAATTAATTCACTGTTGTAAAGCAGATATTTCAATACAGTTCTTAATTCTAATCATCCTTGCTTGGAATAATCCGTTGTTTAATGCCTTGTGACTGCTGAGTTCATCATAAGAGGCTTTCATCTTCACATAACAGCAATTTATGGTTTTCTATTGAGATAATGGTCAAAACACCACTAACGGTGCAGGGATAGTAGGAACTGCAGATGCTGGAGAATCTGAGATAACAAGCTGGATGAACACAGCAGGCCAAGCAGCATCAGATGTTACTGATTTGCTGTTTACCAGAAAAATCTAAGGCTTTCCGAAGAACATACACAGCACTAAGACACTACATCATCAGAAGCCAATTTGTTGAATGCAATTAGTTAAACTCGTTTAAGACAAGAAAATATTAACGTGTTGAGGCTGAAAAACAGCATGGTGATGATGGCAATCAATGTGCACTTTCACGTGCAAGAATCCAACCTGCCTTTGGGACACTTATGGTCTCGAGTCCTATCAATGTGATGCTGAAAGACGAGACAGTTGAGTTTTATTTTGTGTTCCTTCTGCTGTCTCTTTCCTGGTCTGTTCTGACTGAATGAATGAATAATGTGGATCTTGTGATTTCGAAAGGACTGTTGGCATCAAGGAAGAAATCTGAAATCAGAACATCAACTTGAGATGTATGCCGACTAGCGAGGTATTGAATGAAACTTATTTACTCCTAATATTCCACAATGCACAGTGAGGCTTTCCTTAAAGACAAATATGTAAATGTTGAAGGAAGATCCACGTAGTTTTAAATCACGTTCGGGAACAAAGTAAGAAAAGCGTTTGTAATTCAGACGTATACAGAACTTATTGAATGGCGCGCTATCCGTTTCAAGAGCAGTTTTAGATGGAAATACACAACTAAAGCAACAACGACATACATTTACAGTTCTAAAGTGGAACCCCGATCTTTGGAGGTTTTTTGTATTTAAAAAAGATGAACAAAAGCCATACCACGCTTTCTGCAGCTCTTCCTCAACGTATTGAGTCACTGGGAAGGCGTGAAAGTTTGTGCATGTATTCTTCCTCTTCCTTCTTGGAGATCTTTGACTTCTCATTGGCTCAGCCTCCGTGAGCCTGTTGTCCAATGGGGAGGTGGATTCAAATTAAATCTCCCAACCTTCCGGGATGATCGCCAAACAGGCTTCACAAAAGCTTCCTTTCAGCCTATCTTTATGGTTAGAGTCCCTGCCTTGTAATTAATATGCGGGAGTTACAGGGAATTTACAACAGGTCAGAGTTAGAAACCATAAAACTCAGTGGTAGAAGGATGTCTCACTTTTCTGTGAAAAGGCCAAGCTGAGGTTGAGTTCGCTCTACGTTCTTTCAACTTCATGCTTGTTTTTTTTTAAGTGGAACAAAAGCTGAGGGTTCAACCTGAAAATGTTTTCCTGAAGCTGTGTGAGACAGACGTACAGGGAGGTACTGAAGCTAACTGCGGGGTGTGGGTGGGGAAGATATGCGGAAGGGAGGAGAACTGAAGCCTCCCCCAGATGAGCTCTGCGGCCAATACGTGCTGTTTGTCAGGTTCGCAATGTCGCTGCGGGGGGAGGTGGCTCCGGTCTAAACTGCGGCAGACAGACAAGACAGACGGATAGACTTTCTCAGAACGGGGGCTGTGCCGGAGACAGTGACACTGCACTCGGGGAGGGGTTAGCAACTGAACGGAAGGAGGAAAAAAATGATATTTTAACAGCCAACGCTTCCTTCTGACATGTCGGTGCGATCTCTCATTTCTGGCGTTTACCTCCTGCAGATTGTAATTTGTGGACACGATCAGCTGGAATAATTTGGAAGTCCTCTACACGCGAAGGTAATTTCATTTTGTCCTTCGTGTGTCCATGGATCTGACTAGTTATATTTGTCGGGTTGCTATGTTTTGTGTGTGTGTGTGTGCGCGCGCGTACGGGGGGGAGTAGGGGAATGCTCACGGCCCCTGACCAGAGGACCATATTGGTGTAGTTGCTACAATTTGGAGGTGGGTTTGGGGAGGTTCTGGGTCTGTGTGGCTCCAGGGTTAAATATCAGCGCCGAGCTTTGGGAAATCCCGCGTGCGTGGTCCTCAACTTCAAAGGAGTCTGTCTCTTTGTGTATCCGCAGGCTTGTGTTATTGAAGCCGACTCTTGCCAGATCCGCGTTGTGGTGGAGTGAGAGGGAGGAACAGGCCCCTCGGTAGACATGAAGTGTGATAAATGTACTAAAAATGTAAGAAAAATCCTTTTGTCCTTGGCTAGTTTGTTTTCTTGGCCTTTGACTTTGTGACAGTGCTGCTATGAGTCGTTTAAAGGGGTTTTTGTACGAAATATGGCTGAATTCTTATTCATGTTTTAATGTAGAAATGCACTAAAAAACAGAAAAATACTGAAAACGAAAGTCTGGTCAACGACTCGAAGAGTCCCATCAGCGACAATGACGAGGTGAGGCCACCCAGAGAGAAGTGAATATTTTGTTTGGGGGGGGGTTAAGATATTGTGTTTATTATTAAATGCGCTTTGTTTATTTACAGGAAAGTGAATTTCACAAACTAGCAAATGCCAAAATATTTCTCAGTGACTGCCTGGCTTGTGATAATTGTGTGACATCAACAGAAAGTCTGCAGATCGCCCGACAGTGTCAAGAGGCGTTCCTCTCCGTTCTCAGCCTGAACCAGGTAAAACAAATAAAATAAACAAAAAGCTGTTCTGCCCATTAAACTGCGGAAGATGCAGTTTAAGTCAAGTTGTTGGACCAGAATTTGCTAACAAAACATAGGCTGGTTAAATGATTGCAAGCCCTTACTGATCTGTAACGAAAAGTGCAACAATTTGTGAGAAGGCAGTGATGATGAGTTGCCACTCGTCGCAGTTTGGTGAACATTAATATGTTTTATCAGTCTCGCTGTGTATTTCAAACAGTTCCTGTCTGGTAAGTACTGTTTAATCCCTTCAGAGAGAGTTAGGGCTACTATTGCATGAGCTAAGGGCCCGTTTTGGAAAAGATTTGCATTCCTGCTATAACATCCAACCTCAAATTCAGAAAAGGAGCAGGTAAATTTGTGTAGCTGCCTGTAGCTAATAAATTGCCTGCAAAGTTTTAAAAATATTTGATTGTTCTTACTTTTTCATTCTGTATTTTCCTCCAATCATCTTCTATTTTCTTCACTTTTATTCATATTAAATTTTAATTCACCCTATCTGTTTACCCATTGTCCACTCGGTTTCTTTCTCTGTTCCTTGTTTAAGGGGTTAGTCTGTTAATTCCATCATTCACAAAGGTCCCAGTTTCCCTCTTGCCCTTACCATCACACTTCACACTTCAAAACTTTATTGGAATTGGGAATGAGAGCAAAAAAAATCCAGCTCGTGACGTTCAATTGTGATGTAGTACTCCATCAACTTCCAGGCCGTAGTGTTTTCAAACGTGTCTTGATAGAAACTAATGCTTGACAATTACTGGAGTACACATCTAACTTTTGAAGTACACAGCATTGGCAGAAGTGACCTTTTGTAGACTTCCTGCAGTGTGATGGCTAATTTTGAGCTAAGGAAGTAGTTTCTGAAACGGTATTGCAATTTCATTAGTCAATTTGAGAAATTGACTATTTAAATAGTACATCATCTTTCCTTCTGCAAAGTTACCCAATGTCCGTATTACGAAAAGATGAACAATTGTGCCACAGCATTTGTCACTATTTTCTTGTATTGTACAGACAAATAATTAGATTATACTTCAGTAATTGGTAATTTCAATAATGTCTGAATTTACAGGCAGTAATACAACTCCAGTTGCTTCAGTTCAAGTGTATTGAAGGATCCCAACTAATTCCTTTGTATGTTTAATTATATTGCAACTGAGCAACAAAATATGAGTCTTGTTTCTCTTTGGGTGTTATCAATTCCATTTTCAATGCTTGATCTTTATACAATATATACATGTGTGTCTGCCTGGCACCATTTCTTGCATGTTTTCTTTCAACTCAATCCTCCTCTGAGCTGATGGAGCAAAGGTGATTAATGTATCACTCGTTGCACATACATTCAGACCCTTGTTAATGAATCTGGTATCTGTATCTCTGGTACAGAATACAATCCAAGTCCTTTCACATGTGAGTTGTGTATGTAGATTGTGGATTGTCTTCAAAGACTAATGTGATCAAGTTGAGAATGATTGATTGACTTCTGCCCATGGACGTGAGAAGCTCTATGTAATATTTACTCAAACAGGGTTAGAAGGAATTAACAGGTGAACCAACAACAGAGGATTGGCAGCTATGTGGATCAGCTTCTGAATCAAAAAGTAAAAACAAGTTTGAAATTTGAGTTTGTACTGGGTTTTAAATCAACTGCTTATGTTTGGTTTCACAGCTAATTTTAATAATTAAAATTAGCTAGTTAAAATATGCATTGGGATTTATCAGAATTTTGTTGAATTAAACTCCCTTTGTTAGCATTATAGGTATTTGTGTTGGTACCTAATGTGAAAGGATAGCATTAATTGATTTGGTTGCCCTTACTATGCACAAGAGATATTTTGAACGTTAGCTGCAACCTGCAATTATTGCCTCTCTTTAGAGTTCTATTTGTGGCTTGCAAATGAGTTGTATCATTTTGGGTAAATGTGTTATAAAGACTCTACTGATTTTCCTGATTAATTGCAGAATGTTGGGATTTGAAGGGCAGTATACATTGATGTTGTTATTTTGAATTTGGCGAATCTTCATTATAAAGCAAGTGGGCTCGTTTTAGTTCAGTGTCAAGTAGACTACTATTGTATGCCTGTTTTGGTCATGTGGATCTTTTAAGCTGCAGTGCATCACTTGTAACGTACCCTGTGGCGTAATTGGTGGCATACCTGCTTAGTACAGTCAAATCTCATCAGAACAGGGGTTCTAAGATTTTTGGATGTAATCAATATTAATTTGTGTCAACTTAATTTTTGTTTTAATTCATCCATGGGTTGTGAGCAATTATTTATTGGCCACCCCTCTACACTCTTGAGAAGATGGTGATTAAGTTATTTTTGATGTAGGTGCAGCCACAGTGCTATTAAAGGAGGTTCCAGGATTTTGACCCACCAATTACTGAATGAACAATGATATAGTTGCAAGTCAGGATGGTATATGGCTTTAAAGAAGAACTTGCAGGCGGTGGTGTTCCCATGCATCTGCTACCATGGCTTTTCCTGGAGGTAGTGGTTGCTGGTTTGAAAGGTGCTGTCTGGAGTATGATAATGTAATGAACTGATCTGAAACAATTTTCTGTAGTTCCATCCAGATGTGCCTTTGTGCTTTTCAGATGCCAAGTTCATTACTTGTGACATCAAGGTGGTGAGAATATATCTACATGAGTACAAGTGATACCTTTTATTTTTGTGGGCTATGTGGAACATTTTCTTGTTCCAGTCCTGCTTAAATTAGCTCCTCCAATTCTTTTTTTCTGATACATTGATGACTGTATTGGTGCCAGTTACTGCTTTCACCCAGAACAGGAAATCATAATCACGTTTTTGCTTCCAATGGCCATCCTTCTTGTACCTTCACATACATAGTCCATCTCTTGCATTTTGCTGCCATCCACACCTCTGACTCCATTTCTGGGGATTAACTATCTACTTGTGCTCATTATAAATCCACAAACTTCCACAGCTCCCTTGCCGCACTTACTCTCACCCTACTTCCTTTTAAGGACTCCATTCCAATCTCTGTTTCTCTACCTTCATTATACTTGTTCTTGAATCATCGGAACAACAGCACTTCTGATGCGTCTTCCTCTCTCCTCACCCAAGAATTCTGCCTCCCTGCACTGCGCATCATTATGACAACAGAACTCTCAATTGTCTGTCCTGTTCCCAACATTCCTTCTCCCAAAACTGTGATACGTTTCTCTTTATAATCCATTCTAACCACTTCATGTCCACATTCAAAGGATCATTTGTAACTTCCAAAGCCCCCTCCCCTGTCAGCATTCTGAAAATACCATTGTCTACATGACACCCTGGTCTATTCAATTAGCACCAATGCCTCGTCGTCCTCCTCGCAGCATCTTCTCATGTAACCTCAGAAGGTGTGACAACATCCTGACTTGGAACTATATCACCGGTCCTTTCACAGTCGCTGTGTCAGAAACCTGGAACTCACTTCCTAATGGCATTCGGGATGTCCCTACATTCTCAAGGCTCAAAAAGGCAGCTCGCCACCATGTTCTCTGGGGTAATTAGGGATGGCAATAAATGCCACCCTAACCAATAATGCTCACATCCCATGAACAAGTAAAACAAAAAAACCCACCCTTTTCTTGCCATCACACCAACGGAAGCCCCAAACACACCTTTCACATAAAACAGTGATTTATTTGTACTAATTTCAGTTTGGTCTACCATATCTATTGTTCACCATGCATTCTCCTATTCATCTCCATTCAATCTGCAAACATGATCGATCTTATAGCTGTTTGCCATTGTAATTCACCACTTTGCTCTCCTGCTCACGTTTCTATCCTCTGCCTGCTACAATGCTGCACTGAAGATCACCACAAGCTCAAAAATACCACCTCATTTTGATTAGGAACTTTACAGCCTCTGGATTCAACATCGAGTTCAGCACTTTCAGACCATGAAATCTGTTTCTCCAATTGTTTTTTTATTTTTGACCATACATGGGTCTTAACCTTTAATGTTTTTTGTTTTCAAACACTTAGCTGTTATTCTACCTGGGCCAATGCTTTGCTTTGTTTCATTACTACAACAATTATCACTACCTTTGCCTTTTGTTTCTATATATTTGCCATTCAATCTCTCCTGCCTGCTGCTGTTACCAAACCTTCCCTTTCGTCCCTCTCCCCTTACCCCTTTCAACACTCAAATTTCTACCTTCCTTCCATTCTGAACAATTTATTCAACTCAAAATGCTAACCTTGTTTCTGTCTCCACAAATGTTACCAGTCCTGCTGAGTATTTCCAGCTTTTTCTTTTTTTTTTTTTTTTTTTTTTTTGTTGTTGTTTATTGCTGTGCCTTCATCATTGTATACTCAAAATCCTGGAACTCATTACCAAATAGTATTTTAGGAGTACTTTTGCCATGTGAACTGTAGAGGTTGTAGAGATGCACAAAATCTAGTCAAACATATCTAGGGATGGGTAGTAAAATACGGCTCTTATCCATGTGTTTACACCAAGAATCAAAAACATATCTAAATAATCATTGAAGTATCTAAATGGACCGCATTCAGTAGCTGCAGACACTGATGGACTATTGTACTTTTGGTTGATGCGAGTATTTCCACAAGTTTAAGATCTTTTCAACGTTTAGATGAGCGATTTATGCATTCAGAATTGCTTTGTGCATTATGATTACACGCAAAAACAGGACGATGTCTGATTTTTGAAGGTTTTTTTGTTGAAAAATGTCTTGGTCTGTAAATATGGAAACCTTTTCTGAATCACTACAGTGAATGCCACAAATATGGCAGATTATCTTTTTGTTGTTCAATTTTCTCGCCATCCCTCCTAAAGTTGATGACTTCTGAGTTACTTACCCTGGGAACTGACTTCTTTATGTCATCCGGGTCTGAGGTTTCAGAGTCGGTAAACTGTTTGTCTGTGGAGGGCATCACAGATGGGCCTGTGGCATCTCACAATGTAGGACATTGACAATATCAAAGATGAGCCAACTTCAAGGTTTTAGAAATGTAATCTGACTTCATTTTTGCCAAATTTCTACTTCAGTTAATGTTAATTATTTTTGTTAAATCTCTACACACTTGTCCCATTTCTTTCCAGTCTGAATCAGTGGAGAACTGCCCTAGTCTGTGCTGCATTTCAGATCCCAGATCCTGTCCATTACTTTTACTTTCACTTCTATATTACAAACTGCCTTTCAACTGCTTTGGAGCCAGTCTCTACCCCGCCTACCCCCCCTTTCTTCTTTCTTTCTTCTTTCTTCTTTCTTCTTCCTTCCTTCTTCCCCCCCCCCCCCTCTTTCTTCTCCCCCCCCCCCCCCCCCCCCCCCCCCCCCCCCCCATCCACAGCCTGCGTGCGCACCATTCTCTGCTACTAGAAGCTGTATCCATGCCTTTGCTATTAATAGACTCCAATTCTTTTAATGCTATAGACAACAGTTTCCCAAACCTCCACCTGATGCACATTTTAAGCCTTTGAGATGCAGTTAAAGCAGCTCTTTAAGTATAAAGTAACAACTTATTGATTAATGGGCGATACTAATAGATATGTCCTTTTCCTTTATTTGTAGAGATGTGATGTGTCCAAACACAAAGTGCTGGTAGTTTCAATTTCCCCGCAATCGGTGCCCTATTTTGCTGCTAAACATTGTATAAATGTTACTGATGTAATCCAAAGACTTTCCGGATTCTTGAAAGGCCTTGGTAAGTAATAATGTTCTTAATACTTTTGCTCTTTTTGGCTTTGATGAGATGATAGATGCAGGATGCAACATCAAAGTGGAAGTTACTGTAGATCTCAGTGCTTTGATTGTGAAGTGCAAGTTATAAATTCACAAGAAGTTTTCCTTGCATTAAGTAAAGCAAACCTGAGACAATTTACATCTGTGACATTTTAGTGTACTACTGAATAATTTACAAACATTCTTTGCAAAAATGTCCACATCTCTCCATCACCTTTGATCTTGTGATGTAATATTTCAGTTAGTCAGTTGTCAACATAGTCTTTTATCATACAGTTTGTTTGATCTTTAAGCACTGAGTTTAAAGAAGTACACCGCAATATTCTGTGGGGCTTAAATCACTAACAACAATGCTATTTGGTACCCACTCTGTGATTTGAATTTCTGTATCAAAGCTAATTTCAAAGTGAAGTTGCCTCTCATTAGTACTTCAGTCTCTCCTTGATTCTCAATGTGTAGTCACAAGCCTCTCCACCAGGTGCTAATAGGTCTTCCCACACTATTGCTCATAGTGTGAGTGTAATCAATATAAGTAGATGCAAAGATGGTATATTTCTAGCCAGAAAATCCAATTTTATTACATAGCTGTGTTTCAGTGTAGCAGAGAAGTTCTCAACTAAAAGTTCCAAAAGACTGTGTTGATGTTGAGAGATAAATTGACTGTCTGTCAATCAATACTAAATGCTTGGCTTTTCAGGAGTCCATTATGTCTTTAATATGACATTGGCAGCTGATTTCAGCCTTCTCGAGAGTCAGAGAGAATTTGTTCAGCGCTTTTGCCAGAGAAGCCAAGACCAACATGCTTTACCAATGTTTGCCTCTGCCTGCCCAGGTAAGCCACTTAATACAAAATATTTATGATGTTTTACCTTTGCTGAAGTAACAGTCAAACAATTGAAATTCAAACTGCTGGCTTCACTTAATTTCTCTCCCATATATCATTGACTTTGGCACCAGTGACTGTTCCTTAAACAAATCTAAATGAGTTACAAATTGTTCTGAAATTTCTAGGTTTCATGTCTGTTCAAATAATTATTTTTGTTTGTCCTTCTACCATACAACTGTCACAAAGAATTGAATTAGCAAATAGTGCTGATAACGATTTGTTTTATAGTTGGTCTGCAACATGTGCCACCTAGTTATCAGTATAAATACTGGTTGCCTGAGTGTTTTAAAACTGTGATTAATGATGTACACACAATCTCCATTATCACTCCGATATACTCAATGTAATTCATATAGTAACCTTTCTCTATTAAAAGCCTCAGAATATTGCAATGATGATCAATTCAATTTCTGTATATTCATGTTCCCTATTCTTCTGTCCTCTGCCCACTCTGTATACATTTACTTTTGGTCTTCAAAAAATATAGGTTTAAAGGTTTGGTGTGACGGCTAATGTGGCCTACTTATCAGTGGGCCTGCAAATCTGTACTGCCATTCATGAAGATCATGGCTGATCTGATCATGGTCTTAACTACATTTTGCTGTCTGACCCCCTCATGTATTTTTGATTGACCAAGAAAGATTCAAAGAGTTATGTAACTCAGGCTTGAATATGACCAAAGGTACAGCCTCCTGTTTTCATGCATGTTTTTTGGGTATATTTTCAGGCAAGCAGCTCTAAAGTTTTACAGAATATTTTATAAGTTGATACTCGTAGTGATCTATCATATTGGTAGGCTTATAAGGCAATGGTTTGTGCTGTTTAATTTTGAATTTTGTTATTGAGCTAGGCATATACCATCAGAAAATACAAAATCAAGCTCTTGGGAAAATATCTGCTAATTATTACCACAAGCTATTTGATGAATGTTATTCTAATACAATAGAAACTTGCAGCAAACAAAGGGCCTACTCAATTCGTTTGCCAGATTTTTGCAATGCAATCTAAAACTAATCTCCTTGTCCCACTGTCTCTTCCCAGATTCTGTCACTTTTTCACTACTTCAAACATTTATCTAATCTTCGCTCGAAACGTGCAGTGGGCTTCCAGTGGCAAAACACTTCACATTGTAACAACTCTGTGCATAAAGAAATTTATCAGTCCCTTTCACCCTCAGATTGTAATTGTAAATAAATGGCCATTTGTTGCTAATCTTCCAAATGTAGAAATCTTCCACTTTTAAGCTGTTCATTGTCAAAAACTGCAGTTAAATCTCTTGCTGTTCTTTGTTCCAGTGAAAATAGTCTGTCTCTCTGAAACCTCCATAGTCATTCCCCAACTCCTAGTCCATGTTTTGCGCTCCCTGTGGTACAAGTGGCTGAAAGATTCACTTTTGTGTCATAATCAAATATTGAGAAACCGAATGCTTATGTTGATATTGATATGAAAAAACATGGTTGCATGTACTGTCTGATTTGGCACTTATATTGTAGCTTAATTGTTACACTTGAGAGATTTGTCTTAAATAATAAAGCAAGATCAAACCAGAAGTGTAATTGATGTACTGTTAGACAGAAAGAGCTGGATGTTCCTATCTATGAATAAGTGCTTGAGGAAAGGGAAGTACAGCTATCCCTCTTTTAGCACTCTTAATGTGTTCCTATAAAATGGTATACTAAACCAAAATCTGTTTCCAACAGAAATAATATAATTAAGGGTTAATTTCCTGGCCTGTAATTTTACATTAAAAGGCTCTTTTAACTATCATGAATTTAACTGACCCAGAAATTCTCTTTAATAACACTTTCAATTTACCCACTGCTCACCAACCCTCCCACTTATCACCTTCCCCAATCACCCTCTCACTTGTTGCCTCTCCTGATTTGCCGCTTCACTCTAACCCTCTCAGTTGTCACATATCCTGACTTGCCACCTCTTCCACTCCCCACCCTTCTCAAACTGCCGTATCTCCTGACATGCTGGCCCTCCCACTAACTCACTGCATCCTTTGGCAACTCTCTTTGCCACTGTCTCTCTCTTTCTCATTGTCTTACATCCCACTCCTACTGTTGTATTATCCAAACCCTTGCTCCTAGCTAGAGAACATGAGATGGGAAGGAGGGAGCAGGATGGTTGCAGAAGGGTGGCAAGGGGTAGGACTGAGGGGGAAGGGGTGAATCAAAAGAGGTGGTGAGTGGCAGTCTGACTTTTTTTTTTAAAAGCCCAGTTAAAATGGTAACATGCAATTAGAACAGACTTTAAATGGGGTGCACCTTTATTGGGGAAAAATAATAACCGGATAAGATTTTGTAAAAGAATTATCTGTCCTTCATATTTTTTTTTTAAAACTGAATTGACGGACCAATTCCGTCATGTTACCTTTTCGGCCGAAAGCAGTGGGATTTTGTTTTCTCATTCCTGGCAAAGCTTTGAAAAACTGAACCATGATTCAGCTTGTTGCATCTATAGGACTATGATCGTGACCTTTTTGTTAAACAGTCAAATATTATGCAACTGCAGGAATCATATGATGCCCATTATGCTGCTTGCACGTGACTAAGTGAAAGGAAAAACAAGTAGGCTGAAAGCAATATGACATGGTTGCACTACAGTTGGTAGGCTGTGTCCTCAGTGAGTCCTACCTCACCAATTTACTATTGTACTCTTTTTGAAGTACTGTTAGATGGAAACAGCTGAACATTCCTATCTATGAATAATCACTTGAGGGAAGGGAAATGCAGCTATCCTTCTTTTAACACTCTTGATGTGTTCCTATAAAGTGGCATGCTACAGAGAAATCAATTTCCTGGCAAATGATGTAATTAAGTGTTTTGCTGTACTTTAAGTGCTATAGCCCTTAGCTTAATTACTGTTGCAGTTCTAAAGACCACCAAATTATCAGAATTGTTTGGCCTCACTTGCTATCTTAAGAGGGGGTATTTTGCACTTTCAGTAAAGCACTCTGCCTCTGTACCATAACATTGCCAGAAATCATCTGCCAGGCACTAGTAGTATTTCTTTTGTAGCTACATTGTTTCTTCCAATAACATCTTCTGACAGAAACCACCTGTCAGTAGCTCTAAGATAATACATACCATCCTGGAGTATTCCTCTTTTAATACAAAGATCCAGTACAGCTTGTCATTGACACCAGGAGAGTAACTGTCTGGTGAGGCAGCCTGTTTAAAATGCTGCCTCTCAGCTTGAAGAAAATATCAATCTACAGTTGGTTCAATACTGAAGCAGCTGCTTTTTGTACTCCTTTTGCAAAACATCAGCTTCTAGTACAGAGGAATAATGCTTCCTATTTAAATGTATTGAGATCCGAGGGAGAGTGGCTGGCAGTAGGAGAAAGGGCACTGAAGAGAGAGGGGCTGATAGCCAGGGACCTGAGACCAGAGCAAAGGGCTGGGGATGGGTAAGACTCTGGGAACAGCTGGGTTGAGGAACATGGAGGTACTGTTTTGAGGGGGAAAAAGTGGGAGGCTGGATGCAAGTGGAGGCCTACTGTAGCAAGAATCTGAGGGTGAAGGGAAGAAATCCGATGGTAGGAGGGCAGTGTGCTGTGGGATGAAGATGGGAGCCACGAGTGACCCTGTGACTACGCACATGCCTGCATGTGGTCACGGACAGACCATGGTAATATATTACAGTGGAGCAAAGACACCAGCCATTTCCGAGGCACCAAGCCATTTGACCAAGACCGAGCCAATGTTTCATCGTGTATGTGTAGAGGTGAAGTTGAGGTATTGGTGAGAGGCATAAAATTCCAATAACTTCATCGGCCCAGCCCTTCAGGCACCACTTGTGACAGTCCAATGTGCAGTCTACAGACTGTAGGTCACTTCAGTGCATTAAACTAGGGTGGAAGCAAGTCATTCATGGTGCTAAGGGGCTGACTAAAAAGAACAGATTGGCATGTATGCTAGGAGCATAATCTCAATGCTTAACATTTGCAAGCATTACAAATTTCAGTTCTGCTTTAAATATCCTGTGGTGTTCAGCATCATTTTACCTTCATTAAATGTTTAAGAATCATATGATCAGTGCCTGTATTACTCAAAACTCATCTTGTAACAACATATCCAAAGAGCATGTCGAATTTGTGACCTACAGTGGAGATCTTGGGTAATTATGTCCTCAACTGTTTGGCGAAAGCCAGAAAGTAGTTGTTAAACTGGGTCAGTTGTACTACAAGAAGTGAATGTGCTTAGACATGGGGGTAATCAAATCTGTTTCATTGGATAATTAACACTTGCCATATTACTGGAGTGACTCAATTTTTCCAACTTGGCTTTTGTCAATGTGATAGTTTACAAATTGGAGCATTGTCTTTCAGTTTCAATGTGAATTATACATTTTAAATTAGCATCTATTTTCTGTTGAAGGGTTTTTTCAGTCTTTTGAAGCATTAGGTAATCCCATCTATCAACAGTCTGCAGTAGACATTTCTCCCACCGAATACCTAGGGAGCAGGGAGGTTTCCAGACATCTCCTAACTCTCTCAGTAATTCCAATCTAAAACTATTACAATTAAAATTACCAGGATTCTAGAAAGTAATACTTGGGATATATGACACATCTGTACATAACCTGTGTCAGCAGCCAATCTAAAACCATACTCAAATGAGCAATAGATGAGCCCTTTCCTAGCATATCTCTGAATATTGCAGGCATCACTTTGTGGTACTGCAAACTGGTAAAGTCACCATAGTTTTACCAGACCATAGGACTGCTGTCTCCTTAGAGAAGTTTAACCTGAGGGTCACCACGCCTCAGGTGAGGGGAGAGGTTGAGAATGAGAATTTTTCAGTAACCTCAACCATTTCGGGAATTGAACGCGCACTGGGGGCATCACTGCATCACCATTCAGACAACTAACCCCCTTGGAAACTGCTTCAACAAAGTGCTTCATCCTGTGGCCATCGATGTAACATGAGTATTGGTAATCTTTTGCAGGCTGGATTCGCTATGCTGAAAAAGCCCTAGGCAGCCTTGTACTTCCCCACATCTGCACTGCTAAATCACCACAGCAAGTCATGGGCTCTCTGATAAAGGACTATTTTGCCAAAAAGCAGGTAAAGGATTAAAGGCATCATTGTTTAAAATGTTTTAGCCTTGACCGCAGTTCCATTCTCAGGCGTTGACTATCGTCATCGTGTTTGCATTTGGTTTATCCTGTTCCTGTTGTCCTGGTCAATGTCGCTCACGTAATCGAAACTACATGTTTAAAAACAACACATGTACACATTGACCTTTAGTCAGCTTGAGCTGCTGTGATGGAACTCTGGCACGGAATCACTGGTGTGTTCGTCAACGTGTCACTTTTTTCAGGCAATGAGTTATTTTTGATTTCCAGTATGAGACATGAAATTGCCTTGCTATTCCCTCACAGAGCTACTCATTGCTGTGAACCTTTTGACAATCAAGACTATAATAAGACTAACAATCTTGATTAGTTGCAATGCTCATGGCACTCTGATGAGCTCCCAGAGATATCAGTCAATTTGCACTAATCATCAGCTGAAGTGCTTAAACAAGGTACTTTCCAGAAGGTGAAGAACTGAAGAACTTTGAGAAAAGGCAGGCATTAGAGCTGCAATGGATCATTATTTGCTACTTAACACAAAATGAATTATTAAAATACTGAATAACAGCAGCTCACTGAACAGTGCAATGTTAGACCAATCAGTGTGTTATTTCCTTCCAATATGCACTGCACATCATCTGTTTTTGATATTTCAAGGAGAAATAGTCCATTGGTTATTTTTAAACAGTAAACTCAAAACTTTAACAGTTTGATGCAATTAGAGGCATTTCTTTTGGGCTATCACTTTTTTTTGTAGAGGATGAGAAGTAGAAAATGGGGAGAAAAATTTCCAGTTGGTGGAAGGATTGTAAGCCAGAGGGCTCTGGGTAAATGTATATGGCATAAGATGTAATGGTAGTGTGAAGAAAATCTTTCACACCACAAGTGATTCAGTTCTGGAATTCACTGCCTGCATGTTCAGTGAAATAGGATCAATTAGGCTTTTAAAAGGAAATTGCAGAGCGACAGGGAAAAGTCAAGAGAGTAACACTAGGTGAGTTCCTTCATCAGAAAGCTAGCACAGGCTTGCTAAGTCAAATGGCCTCCTCTAACACTGTAACCATACAATCGTTTTATTAGGAAGTTGTAAATGCTGTCTATGCTGTAAGTTTCTTTCTGAATAATGTTGGTTGAATAAATTCTAGAATATGCCATAAATCAAAAAGCAGGTAGAAAATATTAGCAATGATAATTAAGAACTGTTGGTGTATATCGGCATTCAATGCAAAGCAAAATAGCAGTACTGAGTTATTTTTAAATTTTTTTTTTTCCAGCATCTCACCCCAGATAAGATCTTCCATCTAGTTATAACCCCTTGTTATGATAAAAAATTGGAGGCACTTGGAGAAGACTTTTACAGCAGTGTTTACAAAATACAGGGTGTTGACTGTGTATTAACTTCAGGTAACATTACTGCAGTAGATTTTTGGAAGCTTGATTTCTAACCCTTTGTAAAAATGGGCAAATATTAATTGATTGTAAGATCAAACAGAAAATGGGATGATAGTTGACTATATAAACAACAAAGGAAAAACAATATGATGCAACGTAATTAAGTGAAGAATGTGAGTTGGTTAAATGATTCACAAAATATTTGACCTTTTAAAAATGTTGGAATTTTTTAAATGTTTCAGTTAATTTTTGTTTTAGGTTTTCAGCATTTATAATATTTTAACATTTTCTAGATTTTTAGTGTATGCCAGATTGGAGACGGTCCAGAAAAGGTTTACAAGGTTGTTGTTGGGGCTGGAGGGTTTGAATTACAGGGAGAGGCTGGATAGACTGACTGACTTTTTTTTTTCACTGGAGCATAGGAAGTTGAGGGGTGACCTTCTAGCAGTTTATAAAATCATGAGGGGCATACATAAGGTGAATAGCAAAGGTCTCTTTCCTAGGTTAGGGGAATATTTTTAAGATGAGTGGAGAAAGATTTAAAAGGAACCTGAGGGGCAAGTGTTCCACACAGGGTGGCGCGTGTATGGAATGAACTGCCAGAGAAAGTGGTAGATGCAGGTATAGTTATAACATTTTTTAAAAAAAAAAAAGACGACAACATTTGGGCAGGTAGATGAATAGTAAAGGTTTAGAAGGATATGGGCCAAATGCAGGTAGGTGGGACTAGTTTGGGAAACCTGGTTGACGTGGACAAGTTGGACCAAAGGGTTTGTTTCCATGCTGACCTAACTTGATGTAATCCCAATATGACACTATTTCCCACGCATGTTGACTATCCCTAATCAGTCCTTGCTTTTCCAGTTGCATGTTAATTAATTTGCACCATGTCACAAACATTTTGTTTTGCTGTTAAGGTGGGGCTATATGCATTTTAGGCTGAATCTGTTAACATGACATGGAGCTGACTGCTGTTAATTATACACTAAGAGACTTTATTCAGAGTTTAATGAGTAGTCTGACTAAGTATTTGGTTATTCTTAAGTGCAATTGATAAGTTCATTGAGGTTAAAGTCATTCTGGGTCCAGCATTTCATGAACACTAGATGGATACCTTTGGTCAAATTTCACTCTCCAATGCTTACAATATTTTAATTATAAAAATCTTATTCTTTTGTGGGGTCTATATTCAATAATGCATCTTTCATAGATTTCTCATAAGATGAAGAATATAATGTGCTATACAGGGGAAACATGTTAAAATATGGCAATTTTGTTCTTGGTTCCGCGTGAGACATGTGTTAATCATGTACACAGCTTGGGTTATGGTGCTGTTTAGGGGAGTTCTGATAGCACATAGGGTGTGGTCCCAGGCAGGGAGGGTGGGTTGTGAAAACACGAGATAGGGATTCAAGTTTTCACTAGGAAAGTATTGAAAATTGCTGACTAGCTACATAAATTCAAAGTACTATGTGGGACCTTCTTTGGAACTTAGGTGCCTCCCAAAAGAGAAAAAAGTGAAGAAGCACGGTGGTAATAAAGGTTGAAGTGATACTAATTTGTGAGGAAAAATTGCTGAAAAGAAAACTTGGAGTTTGATATATCACACATTGTGCTGGTTATTTTGTGCAGTTTTTGCAATAAAACTAAGGAATCCTTTTTGAGGGAATGGAAATGAGCCATGAGTTTCTCACCCTTGCTTAAAAGGTTTGAGAGATTTGATTTTTAAGGAACAGTTTTTTTTTGACGGTAGTGGGAAGATTTGTGCTGAAGGCCAGAGTCAGAATTAAGAGCATAATTGGATGAGAGGATGTGCGAAGAAGTAGTGTAAAAGACTGAAGAAAATTTTGAAAAGTATGGGGAAATGACCCTAAGGTAATAGAAATTGAGTGAAAGTTAGAGGGAATAAAGAGCATATGAGAGTAGAGTGGGAGTCTGCTTAGGGCACGCAAATTGGGTGGGATGTCAGAACAAGAAACTGGAGTCACCAGTAGAATTGCATTGTATTTTCTGATGGCAACATTAACTTGACTGCTGTCAACTTAAATGTTTATCACTGTAGGTACTTGCAGCATTTGCTGTAAAACATGGCTACATTAAATTTGCAGCTTTTGATTTTGAAATTAAAAATAGAAATAAGGATGTTAAATTTGCATATGAGTCAATCAGCTGTTACTATAACAGGTGATGGTTCTATACATGGGTTATTTTTAGCAAATTATTTGTGATATAGGGTGGTGTCTGGAGAGGATAAATGCAGCATATGTGTGTCATTTCCAAAGTTAAATCCAGCAAAAGAGAGAGGTGTTATAAAAAGCCAACAAATTATTGAAGACCAAGTTCCTTTTTTAAGCTGAGATAGTGCTTGTGCAGTGTTTTATTCTTACACTTTTGATGAGCACTTAAAACATTTATGTTCTTTTTTTCAGGTGAGATAATGCAGATGATGGAACAAAAAGGTCTCCTTTTGACAAATGTGGAGCCAGCACCTTTAGACAATATGTAAGATTATAATTGTTTAATTTTAATTTTACTTTTAATGTGTGTAATGGAAACTTCTTTATTTGTAAATAAATGCAAATTTCTTAAACTTTTTTTTCCTCTGGTAAAGGTTTGAAGGAATTGGTGATATGTGTATTACAAGACATGATGGCAGAGGGTCTGATGGCTTCCTAGAACACATTTTTAAATATGCTGCTAAAGAAATCTTTGGTATTGAGGTCAATGAAATCACATACAAGGCACTCAGGTAGGTTTAGCTTTTTAGAAACTTCTTGTTGCAATTATCCACAGTTTCAGATTGCTTTCACTTAATGGCTTAGCAAATGTATCAAGTTTCGTTTATGTTCAAACCTATCTGGCAGTGTTTTTCAACTATTATTTAAAGTAACTTTGAGATTACCGAGCTGGATGGTTTTGTATGTGCTCTTGTATCTCCTAAGCATCAAATTACATTACACTATTTTAGGACATCTTATTATACTTGATGTATCTTGGAGATAAAGAACCATATAAATAACCACACTAGAATCTGAGTACTTGATGGTGATGTTGCTTCCTGCCAATATGCAACAGAAAGTCAGGGTCCAATGTGCCCACACTTGTATATTTTATACTTCAGTGACGGCTTTGTGCCTCCAGTACGCTTAGAAAATTGTCCCAATGTGTTTGCTTTGAGGGTGCTGTTTAAAAAATATGTTGCAAAATGTCAAGTGAACTGACCATTGCATTATATCACCTATGAGCAGTTATGGATTTAATTAAAAACACCATATTTGAACCTCCTCGAGGGCAAAAGTAAAGATTTGAGAATGTCTGTCTTCTCGGACGTATGTTGATTTTGTAGAGCAAATGACTTTATTCTATTATTCCTGTTTTTAGGAATAAAGACTTTCAGGAAGTAACTTTGGAAAAAGATGGTGAGATTGTTTTACGATTTGCAGCTACCTATGGATTCAGAAACATTCAAAATATGGTTTACAAACTGAAGAAAGGGAAGTTTCCTTATCACTTTGTTGAAGTTCTTGCATGTCCAGGAGGTAATGTTTCTTTGACTTTCATCCATTCAATGTAATGCTTTAGCGACCACAGTCAGTATTTTATAACCCATTTCCGGTACCTGGGAGAAGTTGCTGAAAGATGAGACTTTCCTCACAGTTACTAGTGGGGAGTAAGAATTTGTGTGAAATTGATGAATAATTAAAGTGGACAATTTGGAATCTGATAGTAACTGTGCTGGTTAGAGCAAAAAAAACCTCAACATCCTTGAATCATTTTTCCTAATGAGGAAAGCTTGATTTAATGAAGCAGAGGATTGATTCAATGAATAATCCATCAGGACACTCTAATAATGGATGAAGGAAGAAAAGGCAGATCAGAGGAACATATTACGAAGTGATTAGCTGATCACAGCTACCCTCGCCAATTTAAATTGAGCTGTTTTGTGGGGTGTCTTGCTATACACTAACAGGTTTTGTTTGTAAAAGTGCTATGTAGCTTAAAATTCAACATAAATTTTTTTTAAACGGCAGCAAAGCATACCAGAAGTTCTAAAATTAGATATCATAGACTTTATGGACTTGCATAATTTCAGCCATGGCCTTGATAGGCATCTGCTATTCAGCACTAATCTCTTGATGGGGAAAATTGATCAGGGTCCCTGCTGTCAATTGCAATCCAGTATTTCTATCTGAAATACCGAAGTATGAACTATAGGAGCAAGATTGCATTTTCCCTTTAACCTTCCCAAGATTTGAATACCCTACCAATCTTCACTGTTCATGCTCGCATGTAAAATCGATACCTGGGTCATGCATTAGCATCGATTTATTTATAGTTTGTATATCTGTTTCCATTGTGCAGTTGGTACTTGATGACGGTTTTGCTGCTTTCACATATGTAGAGTTGCATTCTTTTATTTCTGAAACAATCTCAAAATTCCTTACTCTAAAGGCTACTAGATCTCAAGGTGGAATCTTACCAGAAATTGACAAAGTATCATTTTTCTCATGGAGGGTTTTGCTGTCTGAACACCAGCAAGATTTCTCCCCTTACCTTGCCCAAACTCACCTCATTACGTATGCACCTCGCCCCTATGGTATCTCATTCATTGTCTTCCCCAACTCCCCATATGCCCCAGGTGGAAGTACTGGCTGCTCCATGACCTCCTGCAGTTCCTTACACTGGCACCATCTTAAAGCTCAGCTGTGCAACTGGCCATGTGCTGGCAGTCCGTTGCTGCCCAGATCCTGTCAATTATCCCAGACTTGTTGGGCAGAGAGAAACTGGCACACCCTCCTTGCAAACAGGGAGGTCCTGGTGCATGGTGGGAAGCTGTCCATGGAATGTGCTGAGATATTGGTGCCTGGCTCCAAGGTGGAAAGCCAGAGGAACAAACAGTGAGCTCCAGCTCTGAATTTCACATTTGGGAATTGTTGCTGTCTATTTCCTATCTTCGGGTGGGAGAATAGGAAGCTGCAGATCAATGAGGCAAGATAACATAGTGTGGATGTTCATATATGCTGATACTTGAAATAGGCTTTTCACCAGTCATTGACGAGAATTCCATCTTGCTGTTCAGTCCATTTGGTTTGAAAATGGGACTTTTTGTTCTCTGTAATTCTCCCCTATTGTGCTTGTCATTCGGTGGCTGAGAAGATTCTGCCCGGGATTTTTCATTCATTGCATTGCCTTGATGTTCACATTCTACAATATACAATGTTGAAATGTAAAGGGAACTAAACTGTTCATAAAAAATACTATCTGATCTGGAAGATGGCATCTCTGACAGTGCAAAACTACCATAATGTTGCCCTGGAGTATCAGTTGTGTCCTGAGATAGGACTTGAAACCACAGCCTTCTGACTTGGAGGCAAGCATACTCCCACTGAGCCACAACGGATGCATGAAGCCTGTAGTCAGTAACTCTCCTGTCTCCCCAAAACCTGTCCAACATGTACAAGGCACAAACCAGGAGGGCTGAAATATTCACTGCTTGCTTTGAATGCAGTTTCAACAACACACAAGGTTCAACATTATACAGGAAAAGCTGTCCGTTTGATGGGGAATCCATTCACCACCTTCAACACTCGTTCGCTTTACCCCCACACAGGCAGCAGTGTATACCATTGGCAAGATGCATTCAGCAAAGCTGCTTCAACAGCAAATCCACTATCTCTACCACCCAGAAGGACCAGGGCAACAGATGTGAGGGCACACCACCATTTGCAAGTTCCCCTCCAAGCCCCACAATGGCTGGCTTGAAATTATATTGCTGTACCTTCACTGTGTCACTGGGCTGAAATCCTAAACTTGCCAATAGTGGGTATAGGTGCACCTACACCCAAAGATGCAGTTGTTCAGGAATACGGCCCACTGCCACCTTCTCAAGGGCAACTACAGCTAGGAAATAAATACTGACAAGCCAGTGATGCACATATCCTATGAGCAGATAAAAATAAATTTTTTCTTGATGAAAACATGAATGTACCTTCCAATGTTGTTATTTGAAATGGGTTTCAACTTTTTATGGCATTTAGTTTTTTTGCTCCAAGATTTTCATCCTTGGACTTTTTTTATATTTTGTGCTGGATTCAACCCAATTCATTAACTTCCCATCTTTCTTTAAATGAAATTTAAAACTACAGCTTGTGCAACCAGCTATGGATTACTTAAACAGTCCGCTTCAAGCATCATTGAAAGCTCTTAAATGAGCTCTGCCTGTGACAAAATTGTTTTAAAAAGCGTCAACCTATAACAGTTGTACTTGGGTAGCCGTATAGGTAGTAATCTTAAAAGAGGCATTTGCAGTGATTTTAAAGCAAAAAGGCAGTGAGCTTAAAGTTAATACCAAATTCAACACTGGTTCAGTATTTTTTAAATACGTGAACAGAGCTTTTTTTAATGAAGTCATTTGGAAATGGTGAGTTAATCTGTGTGGCCATAGACTTGGAGTAATGATGATTAATTTTTTTTTCTTGAACCTAAATTATGTTGATCTTAGTGACTGATACAAAAATTCTTTTCATTGTCTGAGGCCAATGTCAGCTCACCGCCCCCCTGCCCACCCCCGCTCCCTTCACCATAATCTTGAAGGCTCATGTGGAAATATTTATTGGTTTAGCCTACCCTCCCATAGCTGAGGGAGTTTCCTTGTCTCCTTTCTTTTATTGTTCACTGCTCTCTTCCTCTTTTTATTCTGCATTTAGTATTGACTCACCTGTATGTGAAACTAAACAATTTAATTGTTCAGAGCACTTAATGTTTATGCACAAATGAGTTAAGAAATTAGAGGTTGATCTGAAGTTGAAAATGTTTGTTGGTTCTGGCTAAACAATTTCCTTTTCTTTGAAAATCAAAACCTTGCTTTCACTGATTGCTAATACCATTTTTTTTTTTTTCCTTCTTTGGTTTACTCGAAAGGATGCCTCAATGGAAAAGGTCAAGCAATGACAGAGGATAGGAAGATGGATAAAGACTTGCTGCACCAGATGGAGGGAGTGTACACTAGTCAGCCTGTCCAAGTCCCAGAAGCCAACATGCATGTCCAAATGCTCTATCAGGAATGGTTGGAGGGAAGAAATTCCACCAAAGTTCAAGAGGTCCTGCATAGACAGTACCACGCATTGAGTGAAATGTCAAATAGCATAGACATCAAGTGGTAGGCCATCTGGTTCTGGACCACAGGATTTTTGGAATCCCAATTCAGGATTCAGAATTTCCCCAGGGAACATTGGTACTCTTTTGTACTAATAAAGGTGCAATTTAGACCACATAACTTCAGCCACTGAGATACAAAAGTAACACTTTTTTCTCATGGTAAGGGATACAAACTTAAAATATGTAATTGTCCAGGACTTTGTTCTCCATGGATATCTTTGGGATGTGCTTGTCTTTGAAGCCACTTGATGAATGTTGCCATTCTTTGCGCTTGCTTCCATATGAATACAGCCATGACATGGCCAGAATATAATACATAAACTCAATTGTGTTTTTCTCAGAAGGAGGATCATCAGTGATGTAAAAATAATACTGTGTTCTTCAGATGCTCCTCATCCTTAGAATTCTTCTTTGTAGATTATACAATTTATTTTAATGTTTTATATATGTCTGTATGGTTTTGAGAAGGGGGAGTTGTCTAGAACTGAAGGAACTAAATTGATGCTTGACCTTGAAACTATGAAGAAAAATGTGTATGTCAAAAATATTTGGTTGTGGTCTCCATTAGCAACCTACAGTTTTGTATCTCCTGACTTTGCAAATACATGTTAGTATACTTAAGGAGCACTTGTGATTGAAAAGGACTATATCTGTGGTTCAGATGTTAAGTCCATTAAATCTAAGCTGGATAACTCAGTTATTGGACATTTTATTAATTCAGTCCGTTCAAGGTAAACTTTTTTTACAGTCCTGTATGTTCCTGTTGTGGGCATTTCTATAATCTTTCAATTGTAAAGATGCATTTATGAAGATTAATGCTTACTCCATTAGCTATGGTCTGATGACACAATTGAATGTAGTCTCAAAATCTGCTATCAAACTTTTTTTTTGAAATGGTGCATACTCGAAACAGACTAGCACTTTACCTGCTAACATAAATACATTTTTATTTATATTTAATGGTACAAAAATGAGTAATGTTTCAATTACCCTTCATTTGAGCAGTTTTAAGTGACTGTAGTAGTAACTTCTGTTCTTTAATGAAAGAAGTTTGTCTTCATAATATATTGATTGCTCCCCCTGCCCCTGCTTTCTTCTTTCCCAGTTCAAATGTTTGTTTCCCTTAAAGATTTTATAAAAAGATCTATTTCTCAAAGTTGGTGCTGTTATATGGTAGGTATTGGAAACAACTCTTCAGTGAGTTCTGCAATGCCCTCCCTTGAACTTCCTAATTTCAATTATTACACCTTTTCTAATCAACATACCATCTTACCATAATAGTTATAATATAATGTGCAAGTAAATGAGGCATATCTGAAATAGAGACAAGAATGCTTATCATTGTCTGTCTACTTTTACTAGTGTATGTTGCAATTTGATTTGTTTTAACAAATGATATCTTTGATATTGCAATACACAGCTTTGAGTTAGAATATGACCACTTTAATGAGTCACTTTTAATTGAAATGACTTGCTTCATCCTTTTTTATAAAAACACCTTTATCTGTCCACCCAACTCCACTTCCATGAAAAGAAATTAGTGCTTTATATATACACCATTATAATAAATTTCTGTGAATTTACCATGAATCATTTTGCCCTTAAAACTGAGCATTAAAGTATGGAAAATTGATACTGGTGCTAATGTTAGGAAGTTGGATCAGACACTTCAATGTATCAGACACATTTCTTTTGAAACTAAATATTGTAGTTGGGGCTGTAACCATTTAACCCCAACTCCAATGTGATTGTGAACACTGTAACATTCTCTAAGCTCAACTCCATGCAGGTTGTACATGTCTTGCTACCAAGTGATATTAAATAAAATTTCTGGAATTTTTCATTTGTAAATTTAATTTGAGAATTACCTGTTGTAGCATTGTTTTTAATATGCCTGGTATAAGTAAACTTGTGTAAAACAACACATTAATGTAAAAAATAAATGTGTTCTCACCTTCTTTGTCATAAAGGCCATAATGCCTATTTATCTCTTGACAGAGAACTGGCTGCATATTTGCATGTCTGGTATGAAAGCTCTTTTTTTTTTTGCTAATTTTTGTTTTCTGGGTTGACTTTCAAGAATATCATGCATTTAAGAGACAATAGATTAGGTCCAGACTTTTCAACATTCAATCTAAATTGTGCTTTTCTGCTAGCTTCCTTTTTTGAGGATTTTTAGTTTGGAATGGTGATGGGCTGTCAGCCCAGAACATCCAAGTTTCCATCCTTGGATTTGTGACTATGTGTACACGTACTACAAAGATGTGACTTTAGCGCAATGCTTGACATCTTAAAATGCACATTTCACTCCCAACAATCAATCTGATTGAGGTCCAACACTCAATAGCAAGCTTACTTGTCACTGACTACTTAGGTCAGTATTCTATTGATAAACATACCACTTTGTCAAAGCTTCATGAAGTTGACTCATCGAAGCCCAGGTTTCTACATTAACTCGGGTAGTTTGGTGATTAACTCAAGTGTTACAGCCAATAAGCAAGTGATTTTATTTTCATTGGCCTGCAAATTACTGTTTTATAAATAATTATCCAAGAGATTTTTAGTCATACAATAGATATACAGGTAGCATCACATGGCACAGATGGAGACCATTCAGCCCATCATGCCTGCTCTGGAGAATTGACTGCATATTTGCATGTCTGGTATGAAAGCTCTTTTTGCTAATTGTGATTTCTGGGTGAAGGCTACTGAAATCTTTATGAATAAAGTGCTGTAGTATGCTGGAGCAACAATAATTGGTACCACAGAATTTGAGACCAGAGGCAGTACTTGTTTAAATATTGTTCATTTCTTTAATTGATACTGATGGCCTACGCCTAAAATATGTTTTCTATCCTGTTCAAAGCAGCTTACTAATCAGAATTTTTTGGTTTTTAAAAATAAAATTTTTAATTCCTTCTGAGTGCCAGAACAGAGACAGTATGCCAATCAGCTCCTGATTTGTAAGCATTCTAAGATTCTGAAGTAGGAATGAGGGGATTAATATTAGTATGGTTAAAATTACAGTGCAAGATTGCTTTGATATTGCTGTAGTTAGACTCAATTTCTCCCACGTTGTAACGCTTAACAGCCTTTGTAACCGTACGGTTCATTGCTATTAGAGCAAGTAGATGAGGATAACTGGGAATCCAGACAAGATGGTTGGGTTGCAATGGAAACTAGCAGACCTAAGGCTGAAGTTTGTGATAACAGCAGCCTGCATGAGGTTGAAAATCACCACTGTGTGCAGAAACCAGAGAAGTTCGTTGGGTACCTTTTGCACTTAAGATATCTAGGCTTCAACCATGCAGATAGAAATGTTATCTTTACCACTCCAGTTGGTGGCAACAGGATTCTCAAAACTCAAACCCTGTTCCCACTTTCAGCATTAACGTCAAGTAACAGGTTCACAAGTATACTTCACCACCCATTAGGGAAGTCACTTTCAGAACAGAAAATGCAGGGCCAATCTGAGGATTCAAACCAACGAATAAGTCCACATGTGAAGGAACACCAAGATGGTGTGGTGCTAGTTTCATGGTTCCTTGGGTTAGTAATGAGGTAGAATTATTCTCAGGATATTAAATGTAGGGCAGAACAGGAGAGGTCCATCTGCAGGGTGTAAGGATATCATCATAAAGTGGGAGAAATCTGTTCCAATTATAAAGGGATGGCAAACTTAAACCAGTCATTACAAAGCAAGAGAGTGGGGACCCACAGGTCACTTTGTCAGCTTTTTGATAGTGACTTAACTCAGACCATTTATACATACAAATATACCAAGAAGCTGTAAACACTGCGCACTTTGCTAAAGAAAAGGCATTAGGTACTACAGCAATAATCCTGTACTTGGAAGGAACAGGGAGCATTCAACTGGAGGACTTTCAGAGAGAATTTGACATGAAGACCGACATTACCCAAATTGTGGGCACAATTAGACCCAAAATGCTTGTGTTTGATTGAGTGTATTTCTTTTACCTTTGTAAGTGGCTGGTAGGCTGACAGACTGAGATGTTGTTTTTCAGCACATGACTCAGCAATGAATGCAGTACCACAGGATATAACAATAATTAGTTCCTAGCTCTTTACAATTATAACAAAATATAACATCCCACTTTCTTTTTAAAAAAAAAAAGATAATCCCTTTTTACTAATACTATTGTTCTGATTGTTAATTTCTTTCTCTTAACTAAAGAAGATTGACAATTGAAGTTTCTAAATAATCTGAACACCATAAGAGTCTTTTATAGCTTGCATTCTTTTTTCAGAAATCTAAATATTCATTGTATCACTGCGATGGTGGGATGCTGTGTCTTCATCCTCAGGATCTGGCATTGATCGGCCTCGGTGATGAGCTGGCATGTTGCACAAGCAATGCTGTTGCTCCTCATGCCATTGGAGTCGTGATTGGTGTTGCTAATTTTGTGTCACTTGGTGATGTTGATATTATCTCACTGCTTCGTGATGTTCCTGGTTTTCTCAATCATCCTTTCTACTTTTAGAGCTGAGGTGTAGATGGAACATGAACTCTGCTCCTTCTCATTTGCTAACTGATTTTGGTCTCCATGTTTTATGACCTTTGTTAACAACTGTTGCTGGGTTCCACATTTTCATGTTTGAATCCTGTATATGTAACGTTTATCTTTCAACAGAACAGTGACAGACTTAGCATGTTTCTTAAAGCGTTGACCTCCTTATATCTATGCATCAGTGAGATAGCACATAGAACAGTACAGCACAGTACAGGCCCTTCGACCCACGATGTTGTGCCGAACTTTTACCCTAAACCTAAGGTCTATCCAACCTCCACCGCCACCTTATACTATCATCCATATGCCTATCTAATAGCCGCTTAAATGCCCCTAATGAGGCCAACTCCACTTCCCTCTCCAGCAATGCATTCCACGTCCTAACCACTCTGAGTAAAGAACCTACCTCTGATGACTCCCCGATATCTACCTCCTTTCACTTTAAAACTATGTCCCTTTGTAAAAGCTACCTCCACCCTAGGAAAAAGGCTCTGGCTGTCTACTCTATCTATGCTTCTGATCATTTTGTACACCTCTGTCAAGTCCCCTCTCATCCTTCATCGTTCTAAAGAGAAAAGCCCTAGTTGTCTTACTATCCTCCAAATCATTTGGAGGAAGTATCTTTCTTGAGAGTGTTACCTTACACTTTCTTCCATTCAACAACTCTGAAGGCTATTTTATGTTATCTTTGAGAAGTGTTAATAAGAGTGACAATCTATCCACATTTGGGTCTTCCTTTATATCTTGGCATTTCAAAAGGGTTCTCTTGACTGTCTGGACATGTCATTCTATAAACTTGTGTCCCTTTGGGAAATGTGGTGGTGATATTGAATCCATACTATTCGGCAAATTCATTTAACTCTGGTGACAAATGGCTTTCACTGTCACATATTACCCTTTTGAGAATCCCTTGCCCAATGAACTTTATACTGCTGAGTTGGTAGTTGCTGCTCTCAAATATTTAATCTTACAAATAAAAGGGGATGTTGTGTAGTAGTCTGCGACCATGAGATACAATTCTTAGTTATGCATGAATAAATCAACTTAGTACGGCATGGTCTTGGTGGTTACATCAGTAGCTGTCACCTCTTTCTAGTCTATTTTCAGCATACATTACATGTGGATACCATTCTTTCAATAGCTTTGCAGAATCCTTTCCAGTGAACTGGTCTGAATTTCCACTTCTCCATTCTCATGTGGTCTCTAAGTTTCTTATGGAGAAACTCTTCTTGTATCACTTTGGACTTGGCTATTCTGAAACTGAATAGTGTAACACCATCTCCAAGTGAAATGTCATCTCTGCAGTATTGCTAGTGCTTTTTCTGCGTCTTGTTAGCTCACCCTGGGATCACTTGCTGATGGATCATCTGTAACTCTTCATCTTTACTGGTCTCATCTCTAATTTGACTCAGTGAATGAAACGCCATCAAAACTAAGTGAAGGATCTTTGCATATGAATCTTTTATCTCATTTTTCTTTCCTGTGGCAATAATCACAAAAGGGTATCAGCTCAAACCATTTCCCCTCCTGGCTTGTCATTAAGAGTGAAATCATAACTCTGAAGCTTCAAGAGAAATTCCTGCTGCAGTCTTGTTGGTGCTGAACACAGATTTTTCTTGTGTATCTATTCTATGATTACCTGCCACAATTAAATTTCTCTTGTTGAGATATGAATAGAATTTCTCATATCAATACAAGACTGCCAAAAGTTCTCTTTCTATATTGGTGTATCTGGTGTCAGCTAATGTCAGAGCTCTTGCTGCAAATGCAGTCAACTTTCCATTTTGTATCAGGACTATTTCCAGGACTCGGCTTGACTTTTATCAGTTGTGTATACTATACAAGCAACAATCAGCAAAGAGATAGTTAGGGATCCAAACAGGCAATGGCTTTATTCTAGCAGTATGCATACAGTGATAATGCTCAAAAGAGACTGTTCAATACATAGAAGTTTCATTACGTTATTATAGAATGTTTTTTACATTCTTATACAAATTTCTGTTTGTGATTATTCTTATTATTCTGCTTATTATTACTCAGGCATTTGTTACATGACCATAAATGGTATAATTCTAGTATTGATGTCTCAATAGAAGGCCGGAGGAGTCCCCATTTGGGATAAGCACTTTTCATTGAGGCTAATCAAGCTCTTGTGACCATGATCAGAGAGGACATTCCTTGAAAATGCGAGCAGATTCCTATTTACAGCAGTGATCTATCTCTAATGTTAATAAGTTTTTAACTTTACACATTATTCTTGTGATTATGTAACTGTGTAGTTTAAATAGCTCAGTCTCCTCTCTACCTGTGCTGTTCTGAACTAAGAT